GATGATTCAGTAGCATTAAAGCTCAAGTGGACTTAAAAAAAATCAACACACTTTGTGTCAATGTTGATGTCACCATGACAAGCAAACACTGAGTCTGTGGGCACAGGCAGGCTGCCCACTGTGTCCCTCAGCTCTGAGACTCAGAGCACTGGTCAAAGGCCTGCCATCCCTCTGCACAAAGACTCTGCACCCATCTTCTGTGCAGACCTCAGTTTCTCCTTCAAGGATGTGATCAGTGACTGTTCCCTATGCTTCAGGAAAGACAGAGACTGGTGTGTGCTGTCATGCCCTGTCCTGTGTCCACTATCCTTTCTATCAGAATTGAAATTTCTAGAACATGGATCGCCAAGTCCAGATGGGGAGCAGTACATGTTCACTGAGACACAGGAACACAAGCAGAGCTTGCCGATCTCCAGGCATGTGAGTCAGACACGTCGCTGGCACCCACACCTCCCCAGGGACAAGTGACTGGGGAAGTCCTTCAGTCTCTCTAAAACCATTTCGTACTCCCTTCATATCAAAGCTCTTCTGTAAAGAAATGCTAGCATTTTGCTCTGATCCGTGTCCTCTTGAAAAAACATCCCTGCCTTGCGTCCAAATGACAAATACTGAAATTCCAAAGCATTTTGGGGTGTCACACTTGTGGTGGCACCTGCTGTGCACCTGTGCATGAGCCCTCTGGCATTCAGCCCCATGTGCACACTCCAGCATTGATCTTCCCTGAGCCTTTTGCAAGGGCCAGAGTTGAGGGACTCCTAGGGCACCTAAGGCCACTGAGGTACAGCCTGGCTCATGCGGACTGAGGGAAGGGATGGGAGGCAGGCCTGGTCTGTGTGCCACACTGGCTGGCTGTTGGGGATGCTGCCTTTCTGCTAATCCTCCTCTCAGAGCGTGAGCTCCATCTCCAGTGAGGGTCAGCAAGACGTCAGGCAGGCAGGAGGCTGAATGTGCATCGTCAAACAGCGAAGCTGGGGAACCAAAGAAATAAGGTGATGTGGTGCCTCCTCCACACCAAAAAAAAAAAAAAAGCTCTGTTCACAGGTCACCAAGGGAAGTCACTCTCACCACAGCTTTGTGTAGGTGACCTGTTACTAGAATAAAAGCCACATGCTGTGATCATCTCTGCTCAGATGATCTCAGGAGGCTGAGGCAGGGAGATCTCAAGTTTGAAGCCAGCCTGGGCTATTTAGTGAGCTCTATCTCAAAATAAAACCTAGAAGGCACTGGGGGTGTGGCTCACTGGGAGAGCACCCCTGGGCTCAATTCTCCAGTATCAAAAAAAGAGGGCTGGGGATGTGGCTCAAGCAGTAGCGCGCTCGCCTGGCATGCGTGCGGCCCGGGTTCGATCCTCAGCACCACATACAAACAAAGATGTTGTGTCCGCCGAAAACTAAAAAAAAATAAATATTAAAAAAAAAAAAAAAAGAGCAGCTTCTGAGCAACAGGACATCTTTGTGGAGGGGTAGACCTGAGTGACAGCAGAACACAGTTCCATGAGGGTGGAGGGCCCTGTGCAGAAGGCCAGGCTGCCCACAATCAGTGTGGCTGGGGCCAAGAGCGAAAGGGTCAAGAGGAGGAGAATGTGCCCGGAGGCTGCAGAGACAGCCGGGAGCCAGCTCAAGGACCCTGAACTGGCTGAAGGCAGCGGGAAGCCAGGATGGGGTGAGCAGAGCGTTCGCTCAGATCTGTGCTTTGGAAGACAACCTCAAACAGCACAACAGACACAGTGGCCATGGTGCCATCATCCTGCCCCAGGCTCGGCAGTGGCCCCTCCAAGTGCAGAGCCACATGAAGCAGGTGCTGGGTTTGGACAAGGCTCTAGTAAAAAAGTTCTGGGCCAAACTGCTCATCTGTACCCAACTTAATTTACTTTGTTTGCATCTCATAAGTCTTCTCATCTGAAATGTGTGTAGACAAGGCAGAAAACCTCCTGCCATTCATCATACCTGCCACGTGACAGACAGCATTGAGGACCACCTGCAGGTTACTGCACACCTGTGTCTGTTCACTGCAGTTTGTCTCAGTGCTTCTACTTCCACAGAGTTCCTAACACACAAGAGAACAGCGATCATACCCCCATGTACCTACTGCCTTGCTTTGTCCACCAGTGCAGGCCCTCCGGCCTCGGTGTACCACCCACTTTCCAGTACACACATCTTGGAGGGCTTGAAGTAAATCCCATACCTCCTGTTGTTTCTTCCATAATCAGTCCAGAGTTTTCTCTAGCAGATAAGGACTCATTTGCCTATCTAACTCAGTAGTAGCAACACACCACATCTAAAACACTCACCCAGCACATCCACTGCAAAACCACGAACAGCTAGTCAGAGTTTAGATTTCTCCAGTTGGTTCATAAAGTTTTGAACTGCTTCAAGTAGGAACCAGTCCAGGCACCATGTAGGCTGACATGTTAGACTTGACCCATCCATAGGTCCCTTCCATCTCTTTCTTGTTGTCCTGGCAGGTTATCTGACCTGCAGGCTCCCGGGACTCTCCCGTCCTATGACTGGTGCTGAGAGGAAGAACAGTGACTGTGGGCAGGGCTTTCATTTGAAGGTGGGGACACCTCCCCTCTGATGCTGCCTGTCTCCAAAGCTGACTCAGCACACAGTGTGGGGGACCAAGCTGTCCAGGCAACAGGTGAGTGGGCCTCTCAAGGCCTGCCCCACTTATCCCTGGAGGGCTGTCTCTGCTTCCAGCCTCACACGTTGACAACATTGAAGCTGCAGTCGCTGAGCTGGTCATGGCCACACACCCGTAAACCCAAAGGTTCGGGAGCTGAGGCAGGAGGATGACAAGTTGGAGAAGAGCCTGAGCGATTCAGCAAGATCCTGCCTAAAGGTGAACAATACAGAGGGCGGGGAATGCAGCTCAGTGGTGAAGTGCCCTTGGGTTCCATTCCCAATACCAAAGGGGGGAAATGCTTTTCTGCTGTTCTCCACCAGAAGAAACCCAACTTGATGAGAAAAGGGCAAACACAAAGAGCCAGCAAGTCAGAGGGTAGCGAGGGCCACCTCCAGAGAGGCCAGCTGTCAGGACTCACCCCCCTATCTGATGCCTGAGCCACAGATGGTGGTGGTCACTTGCCACCTCTGGGTTGCCCGAGAGCCCACTCTGTATGAATGGGAAGCAAAATTGGGTGCTTATCCTCACCATGGAAAGCCGAGGAACACTGTCGAGGGCTTCAGGGACCAGGAGACCACACAGACCTGTTCTAACAACGAGATTCTTTGTACCATTCTCCCAACTTCTGAAAGTTCAAAGTCATGCGCAAATGGAAAGCGAAAGGGAAAGAACTCAGAGGCCAGCCGCTCCTGCCACCTCAGCCTTCATCTCACTGGTGGGAGTGGGCTGGATGCCCACCTGTCTCAGCTCGGCAGGCGCTTGGGCTGAAGCTCACTCCCATGGAGGGGACCTGTTCTTTCCACCTCCTGCCACCTCACCACCTAGGTGTGCCTGTGGCTCCTCCTTCCTCATTCCTACTGCATGCCTGGGGAGATGCCTGCCTTAAAGAGGTAGCCAGAGGCAAGCCATGGCTGGGCGTCGTTGGCCCAGCGAGTCACCACGGGCCCACACATGTCTGTGTTTCCTTGTGGCTGTTTCTACCAGGGCCCCATGTGTTCCCCACTGAGCTCTGAGTGAAACACTGAGGAAAAGAGAAGGTGCTCTGTCCTGCTTCCCGGATGAAAGATAAGCCTTTCCCTGATGGCAGGACAAGCCCAGGAAGAGGAAAGTGAGAGTAACCTTCACAGAGTGAGCTGTAGGAGACACAGCAGGGTGGCTACTCCTGACACAGGTGAGCCTTAGACTCATGCCCCAGTCTGACTACTTCCCAAGGGGAGAGTGGGACTATCAGTGGCCTGGGGTAGTGAGCGCAAACTTTCCTGGGCACAGCAACACAGAGGTCACCCTGCCCTCCCCAGAAGTGAGCAAGGGGAGAGAGCAAAAGTGGGGTCCTAGGTCCTGCCCCTGCTTCTTGGGAGGGCAAAGTCAGTCATCAGAGGTCCTCATCACTGAGCATTCCTCCTAAACAACAGCTGAGCTGGTCACAGGGTCGGGACAGTGCTGGGGTCCATCTTGGAAACAGAAGCAGCATGGGCACTATGGGCTCCGTGCTGGGCTTGGTCCCTCTCTGTTGTCGGCATCGACTCTCCTCGGCCCTGATCGGGTTGTTTCATACAGAAGAGGAGACATGGGCTGGCTTGCCTCTTCCATCCCACTGATAAGGTTGGGAAGGTGCCATCCTGATGCCTGCATCCTTAGGGCACCACAAATAAGCCACTTTCCCAGTGTGGACTGGTTGTCTGAGTCACAATCCATACCACACTCTCAGACTCAAAAGTCACACCAGATCTGACATCTGTGAAGTCTTCAGGAACTTGCGGGCAAGAAGAAGCTGAGTTCCTGACAGATGATAGTTCAGTGCGGGTCTGCCTAGACTGCCTACTCTGGGTGACACAACCCAGCCAGGAACTCTCCTCAGAGCTTGAACACCCCACCTGTGACCTGTCCAGTGACACTGCAGGCAAGACCAGTCACTGGGTTGATAGGGACCTGTACACAGGAGCTACTCAGTAAAGAGTGGGTTTATTGCTATTATCTACTGCACTCTGACAGCATTTCCATAGAAAGCAACACCTTTTGGAGGCAACTAAAGTCACACATGACTATTATTCTAAGGCAAAAAGCCCTGTCATGCAATATAAAAGTGCTTCATGGCTGCCAGACCTTAAACAAAGTCTTATTCATCTTTTAAAAAATAAGATTCAGAGGAAATAGCTGAGCCTCAGAAATTCCTAAGTACTGACCAAACATGGCATCGAGAAGCATGGACAGCTGCCCTGGCCAGGGCTGCAGGAGCCCCAGGTAGAGGCAGAAAACAGGCTCTCCAGGGACCCAGAGCCAGGCAAGGACTCTACAAGAGACCCAGGGGCCTTGTGCAGTGAGCATGGGAGGAGGATGCCCCAGACAAGGCAAAAGCAGGGACCCACACCTGCACATTGTCATTCGTAGTATTTATTTTGGAAAAATATTTTAAAAAGGAATTTCTTCATTAACAAAACAGTAAAAAAACAAACTCAAATAACATTTGCACAATATTCCATAAATACATTTATATACAAAAAATATAGTCACATAGACCCGAAGTGCCTCTGTACATATTTACCAAAATTTAAATTATAAAAAACAAACATCACAAAATACTCAAGCTTTACAGATATTGTGAAAAATATTTTTACAAATCCAAAAAATAACACACATTTTTCCATCTAGAAAAAACACATTTCAGTATCAAAAAGTACAGTAAAGGCAGTTTGTGTTTCTAGTCGGGAACAAACCGGCTCATAAGAACCCCAGACCTATACGTGGCAGTGCATGCTTCTCAGCAGGGACGGAGCCCGCTAGCTTAAATATATTCTCTTTAAAAGCAACTGTCCATAGTGCAACGGAAGGGTCCCAGCGGGCAGTGCGAGAGCCGAGCCGGAGCCGGTGCGCGGGCCTCGCCTCTGCAGCAGCCGTGGGCTCCTCTCTTTCAGCAGCATTCGTGGGGGCACATATCCTTGGAATCGTGTCTACTTTAGAGGAACGGGAATCTTGCCGCATCTTCCAGCTTACACCTAGGGCCGGGCGGAGCATGAGCAGCAGGAGGCGCGCAGGCCCCACCCGCCAGCCCCGGACGCACGCGCACACTCACCTCAGTTGCTATGACGCACTCGTCCTTCTCGTCTGATATGACGTACACCGACTGGTACTTGGTGTCCTTCGAGGTGGAGTGGAGGGACTCTGGCCTTTTCCTCTCAGGTGCTTCTCCCCTGAAAGGGAAACCGCAGAGCAGTGACAATGGGAGGGGACAGGCCAGGACCGGCCACCCGCTCTCCACCCTCCGCCGGCAGCAGCACGCACCCCCTGAGTGTGGCCACTGTGCCCTTCTCCTCCCCTGTGGAGCCCTGAGGCTGGCACTTGGCATCTCGCTTGCTGTGCGCATCCCTGCCTGCAGCTTCTTCGCCCTTGAGGTCCTGCACGAGGTTATAGTCCACCGCAGGGTACCGGGCCTTGAAACCATTCTTGTCCGCGCCATCCCCCTGGAAGTCGGCCTTCTTGTTGGTGTTCTTAATCTGCGTGGCCCCGATGACGCTGACCGAGACGTCCTTCTCGCGCTGGCAGCTGGCCAGGTTATTCATGGTTTCCGTCTCCCCCCGGCAGGGGTCAGCTGGCGGTCGCTGTTTCTGCAGCCTCAGCCGGACACAGACCACCACAGCAGCGCAGCCCAGCAGCAGCATGAGGACCAGGACTACTCCGGCACACACAGCCACCCAGGGGAAGGGCCCACCCTCGTACTTCACCATGGGGCCGGGTGGCTCAGGGAGCAGGAACTGGCAGTTGGGACCCCCGTAGCCCTGGGCACACTCGCACATGTAGCGCGGGCCCCTCTCGTGGCAGGTGGCCCCGTTGTGGCACGGCATGTGCTCGCACCTGCTCACAGGGGCGCTGCAGTTCCTGCCCGTGTAGCCAGGGGGACAGGTGCAGGAGTAGTCATTCACCCCATCCCGGCAGGTGCCCCCATGCGCACACGGGGAGGAGGCACAGTCGTCCACGTTGTCCTCACAGTGCCTCCCGGAAAAGCCTGCATGGCAGCGGCACAGATAGGCATCCCCGAGGTCCACACACTTGGCACCTGGAACACAGGGAGCATCTTGCCTGTGTCCACAAGAACAAGGCTCACCGAAAGACGGCAGAGAAACCGAGACAGCTCAGGGCCTGTGGGAAGGAATCTAGGGGAAGTCCAACATGCTAGAAGTTCCTGGCTACTACACTAACCTTCGCCACTGTGCCCACAAAGGACACACTGGAGCCAGGTTTCTAATGGGGAAACTAGGCTGAAGGGGGCACCATGGCTGCCTACTGCTACACTGTTAGTGCAAGAGTGAAGTAGGGAGGGAGGGGGGACAGAGAGGAGGAGGGGGAGAGGGAGGAGGAAGAGGAAGAGGAGGAAGGAGAAAGAAGGGAAGCAGGGAAGGAGGAAGGAGGGAGGGGTGGGGAGGAGGGAGAAAAGAGGAAGGACTGAAGAAGGGAGGAAAGGAGAGAAGAGGAATGGAGGGAGGGAGAAGGAAGGAAGGAGGGAGGGAAGAAGGGAGGAGGACAGAAAGGAAGGGTGGAGGGAGAGGCAACCGTGGGGCCCTAGTTTAGTCTCCGAATCTGCCTCAGGTATCCTGCCCTCACTCATAGCCAGAGGCTCTGGGTCCACAGAACAGCCCTCCTCACATACTAAGGCCCCAGACCACTGCCCCTGCTGAGCCAGGGGACTGGGCTCCCTTCCAAAAGCAATACTGCTGTGCTCCTGGCAACATGATCTGCTGCTCTGGGAACAGTCCCCTGCCCCTGAGCAGGGCTGATCCTGGGTAAGCACTGTCTTACAGCCCAGGTTTTCCCCAGAGGGTAGACCCAAGAGCAAGCTCCTGCTGAGGGTGTCTGGATACGTTCAGGCTCAAGGAACTCAAGGCAGCTCACAAGGTGTTGTGGCCATTTGAAATGAGGCCCACAGGAGTTCCCTAAGTGCTGCACTGGACAGTCTGAGCCACTGTAGTCCCTCACCATTAGAGCAGGGTGAAGAGCTGCAGTGATCCATCTTCTTCTCGCAGTTGAAGCCAGAGTAACCCCCAGGGCAGCGGCAGGTGTAGCCCCCTTCAGGATTGTCTGAGCAGCGCCCCCCGTTGAAGCAGGGACCATCTGCACAGGTCATGGCACTCAGCTCACAGATTCTGCCGTAGAAGCCGGGAGGGCAGGTGCAGGAGTAGCCATTCTCCAGGTCCTGCACGAAGGAGTCAAAGGGGGCTTTCCAAAGGCACTCCAAAAAACTCACACCCTGTTTCAAACTGGGGCTCCCAGCTTCAGGTAGGACACCACGGTGTCCACTCACCATGCAGCTCCCTCCATTCTTGCAGGGGCTAGGGTCGCACTCATCCATCTCCAGCTCACAAGTGGCACCCAGGTACCCAGGTCGACAGGAGCATGTGTAACTCCCCTGGCCTGTGTTGGTGCAGGTGGCCCCGTTCTTGCAGGGCTTGTGGTGTGTGCAGTAGTTCAGGTCTGCCAGATGAGAGACAGGAAAAGGCAGGGAGAGGAAGCCCAGCGTCAAAAGCAGGAAGACGTTATTTTTCCAGGGGCCAAAGATCCAGGCAAGTCCAGGGCTGCTCGGGAGGGGACCAGGCAGCCTTGGGAGAGGGGGCTTACCCTGGTTGCAGAAAAGGCCCCCCCAGCCTTCCTGGCAGTTACACTGCCAGGGCTGCTGGCAGGTGCCATGGAGGCAGCCTGGGTATCGGATGCACTGGTCACAGTACCGGCCCTGCCAGCCCACTCTGCACCTTAGAAAAGAAGCATAATACAGTCAGAGGGATACTAGCCATTCCTGGATCCATAACAACATGCATTAGAAATCATTTTTGGCACCAACAAATCCCTGGTTCTCAACTAGGTCACTGTGGCAGCTTGACACCCTGAGCTGGTTCTGCCTCAGAATTCTGAAGACAGGCACAAGGTACCCTGCACTGGCCTCTTAAAGGGCCCTAGGTGATTCTAACATGCAGCAAGGTTTGAGGATGGATGGTCTTTTGTACTAACTTATTTTAAACTGCTGCCTGTACATTGTCATAATGATTAGAAACTTAGATGAATGGCAAACCTCTTCCCTTAAACATTCCCAAAACTTTATTAGATAAAAACTCCAATTACCCCGCCCCCCGCCACTCAACTCCTCTTACCAATTCTTCAAGTAACCACCTCAGGATGCTTTACAAATACTCCATGTATAAAGCATAATAAGAAAAAGTGAGAAACGACTTCTGCAAACTTACTTGCATTCCCCTGGCTTGTCACAAAATCCATGCTGCTCATCACACCCTGGCAGGCAGATTGCTGCAGGCAGATAAAAGCACAGGCTGAACCCCCCAACAGGGCCTCCAGGGCATCACTGCAGGTTGGGGCATAACAGCCAGGGCCCTATCTGTGGGTCCCAGCTGAGTGGATCCCAGGCTGTGGAGCATTGGCCCATCCTGGCTGGCTGCTTTGGACTTTACTTAGCCCTGGGATGAGCATTCTTTTTAACACAGTGGCTGGAGGACAAAAGGGTCTCGGAAGCCCCCAACCCCCACCCCATCCCCTTTTCTTCTAAGAGAGGGTCAGAAGTCTTCCCCCTCCTCCTCCCCCACTTCCTAATTCTATGCACAAAGCTCCACCTCTTAATATCCCAGAAAGTGTGTGTGCAGATAAGAGTGGACAGCTGGTGTGCAGGGTGCCAGGGCAGAACAGCTGCTCCATTGTCTCTGCCCTCCCGGCAGCTGCCCCAGTGCAACAATGCCGCCCCCCACCCGTGCCCCCCCCCACAGTCCTAGCATGTGCACACGGGTGCCGTGCACATACATACATACACACACACACACACACACACAGACACCCCTCTACCAATGGGAGCAGGCAAAGTCCCTGCTGCCTAACCCAGGGAGATCTAATCTATGGCACGCGTGAGGTGGTGAGGAGACTCCAGTGTTTGAATAAGAAGAAAAAAGTTTAGGTTTCTGACTCCCCCAGAATCACTGAGGAAGAGAGAGGAAGCTAGGGTGGGAGGCAGTCCAGAAGGCCAGAGGCACCCGAGGCAGGGTGGGCTGAGGCTTTGAGCTGGCTCGGTTCCCCAGTTATGAAACTCATTAATGAGCAGCTCTGCCAGTTCTTAAGAAAACAGATTCAGCTCAGGCCAAGGCGGGGCTTAAAAGGAGTTCGGGAACACTTCATGAGATGGGAAACTAAGCAATAAGGACATTTAGGCACCCACTGAACACCCCCTACTGTAGGCACAAATCAAAGCTGAGAAACTGCACTCTCCCTTCCACTCCCAAGAGGTTCTGGGCCTCAGAGTTCAAAGTTTACTTGCTTTAGGGCAGGAGAATGAAAGTTCAAAAGGTTGGGGATCTGGGCAGCTCATATGCCAATGGGCTGGAGTGGTGAGCCCCAGAAGTGCCTCAAAGCTGAAGAGAGGCCCACTGAAGTCCAGATGATCCAGAGCCAAGGGGTCCCCCACTGTGGCCCTGGCCCTGGCCCTGGCCCCCTGCCTGCCGGGGCACATTGGACATCAGTACCTACATATTCTTTGCAAACAGGGTGGCAGCACTCAGACAAGACAGGGCACAGACACCTCTCACTTATGAAGCCTGGCAGGCCAACCTCAACCCACACTCCCACACTGTCCACAGATCACAGAAGTAAAGACCCCTCTGGATAGCAAGAATGGTGCAAGTTGTAGGGGACCTTGCAGATGGCTTGCTCTGTACACAGGTCAAGCACTCCAACTCCAGGGAGGAAAGGGCACTTCCCAACGAGGCACTGTCATAGCAAGGAGGGCTTGGTGGAAAGCATGCCCAACAAACTGGCTCTCTGTTCCTCCCTTCCTTCCTCCCCTCCCTCTCCAGTGCACACACCCTGGGGGAGCACAGCCTTGCTTCCTGACCCCTGGCCCTGTCTCCAGCTCCTCCCTCAGAAGAAAAGCAGCTTCCTGTGGGAGGTTAACACTGTCTTGAATGTTAAACTGCCTGAGTTGACCCTAACTTGTTGTATCGCTTTAGCAAGGCAATTCTGCCCCATGGGCCTCAGTTTCCCCCCAGAATATCTCTATAGTCCCCTCTAAATCCAGAACTCTGGAGGCTCATGAATAGTCTCTAAAAGTAGAAATGGCCTCCTGGAGGACTCACGTTCTGTGCAGTACTGGCCCTTCCAGCCGGGGTTGCACACCTTCTCCCCTCTCTCCCCACAGGTGAAGTGGCCGAAGGCATCGTCCCGCGGGCGGCAAAACACAGAGCAGCCCTCCCCATAGTAGTGCTCATCGCATACGAAGCGGTAGGAGTACTTGAGATCTGTGCGGCCACTGCTATGCAGGTCCTGAGACCACTCCTCGCCCACCGTCAGGTGCCTCTGTGTGGCCAGGCGGCTGATGAGCCTTTCTGGGTTTTCTGGGAGGTGGGGGAGAGATGTTTTTGTCAGTTCTGACCAAGAACCCAGAAGCTTGAGACCAAGGGGAGGGGGCAGAGGTGCTCAGTGGGAAGACCAAGGCCCCTCCACCCTGCACTCTGGGGCACCTGCAGTAGGAAAGTCATCAGACGCGGGAGGTAAGTGATGTCAAACACACATCAAGCAGGGGAAGGATCTGTAGTTTTGGGGTCTGGGTTTTGGTCTTACCTGTTGCTAGGTCATCAGGAGAGTCTGTGTGCAGGGCTTCAATGATCAGAGAGAAGGTGCCCTGGGAGAAAGGAGAGGGATATAAAATAAACCAGATTTCTGGATTTTTTTCCCCCTAATCAAAGTCATTGCAGACAAAGCAGGTCAGGAAAAAGGCCTGATGGCCCAGTTCTGTGTGGGGCGCTCAGGGAAGGTCTCCACATCTCTGCCTGCTCTCACCTTCCTTAAGGAAATGAAAACTTTTTAAAAGAGTGATTTCCTGATGCATTTTTTCAGCCTGTTAGTACAGGATATTATGTTTAAAAAAAGAGTGTGTGAGCAGGTGGGGTGGGGTGGTGGACCAGGCCAGAGGGCAGCTGTCATTCGTCTTCCGGGGAGGGGACCTTGAGGGTGGGGGCTGTCACTGAGTGGGTAAGGACAACTAGCGGGCCTGGGACAGGGGCACCAGAACTTTCCCACTGTTAAGAGGTTCCTTCCATTGGCGAGATAGATCATGCAAAATGTCCGGGTCCTTAAAACGGTTGTGGTCCTCGGTGTCCCCTGCTGGCCCAGCAGGGTGACACCCTGCATCTTGGCGGCGCCATTGAAAGGAGGAGTCTAGGCCTCAAGCGAGGCCACCTGCCTGTCGTGGAGCCTGCGTCCGCCCGCTCCTCCCTCCGTCCATCCAGCCCCGCGCGCGCAGGTGCGGCACTCACCGGCCAGGTGAAGCCAAAGGGGAAGCGGATGGGGTTACTGAAAGCAGCGTCGGCTCCGGCGTCCTCGCCGTCGGGCAAGCTGAAGGAATCAACGCCCAACACCGGTGTGACTGCGCTGCCGTAGGTGCAGGGCGGCTCGGGGGACACGCTGGCTTGGTAGTGCTTGAGGCACACGCGGAAGAAGGTCCTGCACGCGCATGGCGGGCCAGCGCCCCCGCGGCAGCAATTGCGATTCCCCAGCAGCCCCTTCTTGTTGACGAACTCCTGCAGCTTCAACTCAAAGACGCCCGAGCTCCAGACCTGCGAGGGGGAGGGCTTGAGGACGCGGCCAGCGCTGGCGGTCTGGGCGCAGGGACCAGCGCGCCTAGCGCCCTATCCGGAGCGTCAGCGAGGTGCCTCGCTCGCTCACGGGGCTCACTTTCAGCGGCCAGATGCCGCTCATCGACTCCCCGCCCTCCACCACGCTGCAGCCCCGCCCGACTGCCTACCTGACACAGCAGGGCGGACACTACAGCTAGGGCCAGCGCACTTCGACGGCCCATGGTCCCCCTGGACGCCGTCGCCCTCCTACTCTCCTCTTCTCCAAAGGGCGGGGATGGCCAGGAGGGCCACTGTGCCCAAGGAGCGCGGGCAGGAAAGCAGCCCCGCTTTGCTTCAGTTGGGACGACCAAGACGCCTGGCTTCAGCGGTGTTCTCTGCTCTTTCAGAGGCTGCGGTTCCGTAGATCCGCCCTCGATGGCTGCCCGCAGCTCCCCGATGGGCGAGAGAAAGGGCTCCCTGTCGAGACGGGAGCCGCAACTTTCCTTTTTCTCCTCTCTTCCAATCCACGAGTAGGTGAGGGTCGCCGGCTTCCTGGTTTTGTCTTAATCCTCTTCGCAGGAAAGAAAGAAGAGAGATGGAAAGAGCGAGAGAGGGAGGGAGGGAAGGAAGGATAGAGAGAGAAGGGAAACGTCCAGATATTCAGCTTAATTCCCAAGAGAGCTACAGAGGCTTCCTTCGGAGGCCGATTAGAAAGCGGCGGTCTGGAAATCCCACGAGCGAGGCGATAATCCGGGGCCCCGCAGGGCGCGCGGAGCCGACGGTCAGCGGTGGCGGGCGGGTGCGCGGCGCGCGCCCTGCGTTCGCGGCCGGGTGTCACTTGGCGGCGGCGGTCGCTACGGTAGTGCTGTGGACCCGAATCTCCTGCGCCACCGCAAAGACTCGCGTCTTCCCGAAGAATCCAGCCAATGCCATCCAAGTAAACGCGCGCAGAAACCAAGGCCCGGGATGTGGGAGGCTCCTTGCGGCTGCCAGTCCTCTCCAGGCGACCTGCCCTCGGCTGGGCCGGTTCTCCGCGGGTGCGCGCCGAGGATCTGGCTCTGGCCGGCGCCTGCCGCCCTTATATTCCGCCGGCCGCCCGCATGGCTAATGAGATGCAAATGAACGGCCCCCCAATCTGGCGAGAGCTGTCACAAAGGAGCCACTTTTCCAAACCCTCCTCTCAATGGATCGCCAAATGGTCAGTGAGCTGTAAAATGTGCAACCCTCCTCCCCGCCCCCACCCTCCCCGCCGCCCCCCCCCCGTCCTTCCCTGCCCCCGCCCCCTCCGCCTTCCTCCCTCACTGCACAAAACGCACTCATTTACATTCCTGCAAAATGTTCGCGGCAAGAATCCCCTCTGCTCCCGGAGCTAGAGCCGCCGCCCCGTCCCCCTCCGCACCCTCCGGGCCGCAGACGCTCAGACCCTCGGCGGCCCTCGGGGGCGGCCCGCGCTGGCCGCCCGCCGCCAACCGCCCTCCTAGCGCGCCGGCCACCGCCTCAGGAACGCTCTGCGCCGCGGCGCCCGCCGCCTGGCCTCTTCGGCCCGCTGCGCCAAGGGGGCTCCGAGGGCGCGTGGAATGAGGCTGGAGTCCAGCGTTCTCGGTCGGTCGCCCTTCCTTCGCGGCTGGCGCTTCCAAAGGAGGAGTCTTCAGGGCGGGGCGGGGCGGGGGCAGGGGAGGGGGCACTGTAGGAAAGGGGCGGGCGGAGCTGGGGGCCAAGGGTGGCGGGAGCCCGGCGTCAGTTTCGGGAAGTTTGGGAGGTCAGACACCGATACACCTCCCGGCGGAGATGGATACTGCGCCTCGGGAAACGTAGATCCGGCGCGCACGGCCGGGGCGCCCCCGGAGACTCGGGCGTCCCCGCCCCCTGGAGTCCGGGCATGGTCCGCTACAACTGGCATGAGGGTCCCTATCCCGGCCACGCGTCCCTGGAGCCCGGAGAACCCGAAGCCTTAAACTACCCTCTCCCCAGTGCACACACATCCTCCCCCGGTCGATTTTCGGGCGCCACCACCTTCCCTGGATCTTGGGCCCCTCTTTCCCGGGTATTCCCCCCTTAGCCTCCCTCCGCTTGGTAAAAGTGAGTTTGGTGTGTGTCGTTCGCGTGGCTGTCATTAAGGCAGTCTGTTATTGTGCGAAGCTGAATCAGTGGCTCTTTGTGCGCTCAGCTGTATGGTAATGCAGACAGCACCTGCTCCCTGCACAATACGAGAGAAAGAGCTCCCCTCCGCGCGCGCCACGGCCTCTGCAACAATGTCCGGCACATGTTCCAAAGGCCCCTCCAGCCCGGCCCCCCAGCCCACAACCTTTACACAACCGTCACCTTATCAGGTTTTTACACGTCCATCAGACACTAGAACTTTTGTTTTCTTTTTCTTTTCTTTCCTTTTTTTTTTTTTTTTTTTGAGGGAAATGAGTTTATTGGGAGGGCCGAGAACACACGTATCACAGTGAATCACCTAAACTACTCTCCTACTTACAGGAGCCAAGCAGGAGTAAGTGGAGGCATAGACTTCTTCTTTGGAGACTCTTCTGGTTTTGTGCTCGGCACGTTGCCACTCTTTCTCCCTGACTGCTCCTTCTTAGAGAAGTGCTGGAGTGACTGTCCCTCTGATTGTATGGCAACCACCAGAGTGGGCCTGCCAGTCTCCTGTTGTAGGTGTTACAGCCCCATGGTGAGGACCTGCACTGTCCTGGCAGTTTCACTGTCATCCGGGTCCTCATATACATCACAAAAATACAGAAAGGGAGTCCTCCAAAACCCAGCAAAGCCACTGGCAACAGGACTGAACAGTTTGTTCCTCTGGCTGTCAGGCAGCTGGAATCATTCATTTCAAGTCACCCAGCCTGTCCTGGCTACCTTGTTTCCCAAGTACCTGTAAAATTTCAGGATAAACAAGAGATTTCACTTTATACTTTCCAACTCTGCCTCATAGAAAACCAAAGTTAACCAAACACCATGTGCACCGGGTATTTAAGGCTGAGGTGAGAAAGGCAGGCTTGGGCCCCACTAAGAATCTCCTACTGTGTGATGTAGAACAAATGGAAGCTTCAAAAGATATTGCCATCCCCAGGACAGAGGCAAACCCAGTGTCCCTGTCCTCTGCAAACTCTGTAGGGACTTGCTACATCATCACAAGACTGGGCCAGCTTGAATACTAATTTAATTTTGCCACCTAGTGTCAGCATCCCTTTTTGACTAGGTTGATGTTTCCTCAGAAACAGAGAGATCTCTGATCCCTGGGGCTCAGAAGCTGTTCCCTATGCTGGGGGGTGAGGGGGTAGGTAGGTGAGAGAATTCCCAGAGCAGGGGAGATGCAAACCAAGAAAGGAATTCGAGATCAGAATGCAGAATCCTGGATGCTTGGAAGACTGAGCACAGATCTCAGGAAGAAATGAAATATCAGGAACCTTTTAATTAGAAAATGGAAATGGAAAACAGTCTCATTTGAATGCCTGTTTAGAAAACTGGAAATAAAAAGTTCCACGCGCAAGGGCTTAAACCTTGAGAGAGAAAAGACTTGCCCCAAATCTTTAACAAACCCCCCTTAGTATCAAGTATTTGTTAAATTGACATAGCACAGATTTCTCGATTACAGCGGCAAAGCGGAACTGAAAGGCATCGTAAAATCCATCAGAATCCTGCCCAAAGCGTTCATTCTTTCCCAACTTAATTTATGCCACGCGATTCTGTATTGAGGAAATCAAGCAGAAAGCCCTTTTCTTCTCCTCCCTCCTCCTCCTGCTCTTCTTCTCCCTTTTCTTTCTCTTTTCCTCTTCTTTTTCCTCCTCTTACTCTTTTTCTTCCTCCTTCACCCCTTTTTCTTCTCTACCTTTTTTTCTGTCCTGCAACCCAAATTGGTTCCTCTTCCCCTCTCTTTTAAAGGCTGAGCTAGCTAACGGGGAGACTGTTTAACTTCAGCGTTTCTATAGGAGCCTGTTGTAGTTTAACTCCTGCGCACCAGTAGCTGGGGTGAACAAAGGAGAGACTCGAGGTCCAACTATTCATCCTTTCTTTGCACTTTAATTTTCATTGATTGGGAAGACAAGGGGAGCCCTTAGGGATTCGAGCTGGAGGGGGATGACACGCCTTTAGACGCCATCAGCCCCCTAGCCAGCCATCTGCTCCAAACCAAATGGCGTTTTTTCACTCCCTAGCTGCATGTCTCTGTACTCCCACAACCAAGTACTCTGAACCCCCCAAATGCAGGAGGGAGCTTAAGCTCGCGTGTGTTAAATAGACTTGCCGCAGTGTCAGCCCTTGCCACCAGATTCCCTCCCCCCCATCCACCATAAATCCTCACCTTGCTCGTTAGGAGAATGCAGAAAACTTCCTTTTAAATACTTTTTGATGTCTCAGCAAATTTACTGTACAAAGTGAGGCTCATTAGGGCTTACATCAGACACAGGGGCGAGGGGGGGGGGCCGGGGACTCTGCTGCCTGGTGGGGGTCCTGTGGTCTGAATAACTCCAGTGTGGAGGGGAGGCTGGATTGGGTGCCAGTCAGAACCATGGTCACGACACACCTCAGTTCTCTGTTCCATAGAGATTATTTTCTTCACCGGGGAATAAAAGTTCCTGTTCATCATTTTATCCAATTAGGTATGTCCGTCCTCAGCAGTGTGTGACCTAAAACTGTGATCACCCAATTCCAGTCCCCTTCACCCAAGAAAGGCTTAACTCCCAAAGTATGTGCCCAGGGTCTGGGCAGATTGCAAGGAACATCCCAAACAAGCTTAGATTCCACCTAGTGCAGGTTCAGTGTTCTGTGTAAACAAGTCTGGAGACTTGAGTGGGGTTTGTGTTTTCTCAGACCAAGTGAATGCTGTATACCCAACAGAGAGGGTCTCTTATTCCCAAGAAGAATCAGGGTCCTTGTTCAAAACAACAAGATAAAAAAAAAAAAACAAAAAAAAAAAACTTCCAGGCAGCAAATCTGGTGTTGATCAAACATTCCATCTTGCCTGAAGAAGAAAGAAGAGGAAGAGGAAGAAAAGGAGGAGAAGGAGGGGGGGGGGAGGAGGAAAGCCTGTTTATTAATTAGCATTAGTGTCACATCTCACCGACACCCCTTCTGCCCATTCTCTCTCAGCCACAGTTGTGGAATCTCAAAGCAGTTAAAATAGCGGAGGACTCCCGCTGCATGCTTGAGACACTGGTAGCCAGAGGGCCTGGTGGCAAACCTCTCCCCCACACAGCCGCTCTGGTAGTGCCCAACTCCTCATCCTTAGGTGTCTTTGGACACACTTCTAGCGTCTCCTTTAACTGCCACACCCACCTGTATGTATAACCTATGTTTACACCTGACTGCAGTTCTGTCTGGCCCTCGCCTTCTAACCTGGGCATCCACTCATCCCAGCCTAACTGGGCTCCCGGTCTATTTAGACTGGAGACTTTGGTCGCGCTAATCCTCAGGTGCAGGTGAGGCTGGCCTCGAGTGGCCGCGTTTGGAGGGGTTCGGTGGCGGCCTCCAGAGTGGATCAACCGCCAACTTCCCCTGTGCGGTGGGGTCACGGCATGTCACGACTTTTTTATTCTTTATTTTTATTTTTTAATGGGAGAGGCGGCTGTATTGTGAAAAAGAAGGAATGCCCAATCCACTGGATGGTCTGGTTTTCGTACAGGTCGGTAGACTGAGCACACTGTGCGCCGGAGACTCCCACTCTGCATGCGTGGACCCCGAGTGGGGGCTGCAGGTCCGCGGAAGTTGCAAAGGCATGTGCTGATCTGCATGAGAAAGGGCGAGTCGCGTGGCTCAGCTGGCGGCCCCGGCGCAGATGACAGATCGCCCCGGCTCGCTGCCCCTCCAGGCCCCGCCCGCCGCTCCTTCCTCCGAACCGCGGGTCATCTGCTCCGGGCTGTCCTGCGCTCATCTCCATGACAAAGCGTGTGTTTACCTGCGGCCGCGGCACCGGCGGGCGCGCCTTTGTCCTGGGATCAGATTACCGCGGCAGCTGCGCGCAGCCTCCCGCGCGAGGCTGCACTGCCCCAGCGAACTCTGTCACCGAGTGTGCCGAGCCGAACGGGATGGGGGTGGGGGCGTCGGGTGGCTCCTATGGCCCGGGAGAGGCTGCTTTCGGTTTGGTACGGGCCGGACCCGGAGCCTCGCGACGGGGAGCCGACGCCCCGAGGGCTTCCTGAAGGAGGCGGAGGCGCCGGGCGGGTGCTGGGAGGGCGCCAGTGCGGAAGCTGGGGCTCA